AAAGAAAAATGCAAAGACCTCCTCTCCTTACTAATGAAATATTCTATTGTTATGAAAAAATGTTCACTTATTTGAAAACGAGTAAGCTCATCTTACCATAAAAATGAAATGCCTCAATAGGAGAGATCAAGTTATATGACCAAATAAATATATAGTCACATTGTGCATTTATATTATAGAATAGATATCCTAGTAAAAGTTTAGTCACAAATAAAAGATTTGTTGTTATCATATATATATATATATATATATATATATATATATATTAGCAATGGATTTTTTTTTTCTTTCTTTAACTTCAGAACATTGGGCTTTTCAGTTGATGGAAAAAAAAAACTGCATTTTTATTTTTTTATTTATTTTTTTTTTTTTTGGCTTATTTGAATTGCCATCATGAATACTTTTGTGCTTCGCAACAATCATTAAGCAAAACTAGTGAACCACTTACATCTGGAGATGACTACAAATCTTTACAAAAAAAAATATGATATCCATTTTTTTTTTTTACAATAATGTTCAACCTGTACAAGACCCAAGAGCCACTCAAGTAGTTGGTTACAGATTAAGAGGCACGGTTTATGGGAATATGTGGGGAAGATAATGGTTGAGCCTAGACTTGAATAGGTTAAGATTGTAGTGATTGAGAAAGCATCCTCTTTGGAGTTGGTTCCACAAAACAACAGTTCATGGAAAGAAGTTGCTCCAAGTCTTTGTTCTCTCTGATGTGGCCAGGTATTGAACTCACTTCTCTCTGGGTCAAGTCACTGAATTACCTTAAACAATGCTTTTATCCACTGGCCCAAAGACTTGTGAGTTCAATACCAAGCCATGCCAGAAGTGAACAAAAATTTGATGAGTTCAGTTACTAAAGGGAAATAACTGAAACTGAGATATCAAGAAAAGGCGTGGCATGTAGAACTAGAACAATCTACCCCCATGGATGAAATAAAGGATTCAGTTTGAAATTCCAATGTATGTCACCTGAAGAAGGTTGGTGTGTAAAACAGCCAAAACGTTATGATTATGGCAGAAAAGACAAGGACAACAGTCCAAACAATGTAAACAGTTACAATACCTCATCACAGAAATATAAACAGTCTCTTTCCTTGTCCCTCACAGATCATGTGATACTGGCTACATATGGCTATCTCTGGTGAAACACTGTGACATTTAAGTAATGAATTCAAACAGGTTCTATTGGTTGTAAACAAAAAAAAAAAAAATGGAATCTTTGTAACTATCTCATAAAGAAGTATGAGAATGAAGAGGAGACTTTGAGTGAAGTAAGTTCAATTCCTGTTAGGGTTTACTTCTTTACTAATGTACCGTGCCATCAAAAATGACAGCACTTTTTACAAAGATTTAATCGTGAGATGTAATGAAACAAAAATCTTGAAACAATGTATTGAGATTCAATAAAGCAGAGATAAAGAATTCACAACTGAAATAGAGGTCAATGAACCATTTAATTAATCTGTTCCTTTTATATATATATATATATATATATATATATATATATATATATATATATATTTTTTTTTTTTTTTTTTTTTTTTAAGACATTCAGTAGTATCTAGATTCATTGATTACTTCTAGTATTATATAAGTCACTTTTTTCTCAATATATTTTCATGTTAGGAAAACATATTTCAAAGATGAAGTTGCAGAAAGACTTAATAGACAAAGGTATCTGAGTGTCTCACATGAAAGATTTGAACAAATAAGATTGCAATCTAAGAAACTTTGGAATAAAGAAACTGATTAATTTATTGGTCCATTTTGCTTGGGCAGTAATTTTGTCTAAATGTAGATAAATAATTTATTTGTATAGATTATTAACCTTTATCATGCTGGAGGTGAAAATTGTCGCCATAAAATTCTCTCCCTTGAAATGGTTACTATAAATAAACACTTTTCAACTGCTATTTCCGGTATTTTAAGCTGGAAATCTACTTTTGCTTTGGAACAAGGTTAAACTTCCATTTTCCAATGTCATTTTGAATTCTTCTAGACTCTACATGAGATATAACACCAATTAAACCCATGTTAATTATTGTGATTTTTTTTTGTAAACAAAAATGGCTGCTTCAATATCCAACAAAGCCTTTATTTAGAGGTTTTTCTTTGATTAGGACTCCAATGATGATTTTGAAGGCTTTATTCAAGTGGATATTGACAGAGAAGTGGTCAAAGATGATAACCATACTAGTGACATGGAAGAAAGTGATGATGACCACTAGTGACTATTATCATCCATGCCTGACTAATTTTATGGAAGCTACTGGCGACCATTGATATACCCGATAGCATTTCTGATGGTGAATTATTTTATCTATTTATAAACGAAGAAATAATAACTTTATTTATCAACAAGACAAATAAATACGAGTGAGGTGAAAGAAAGAGCAGACAAATGCTGGCGTCTTCTCATATGTAAACACGAGGAAACGTGTCACATTTTTGACAAAATGAAAGCCTTCTTAGAGATTTTGCTTCTTATTTCACCCCAAAACTTCACAAGAAGTTATAAAAGTTAAAGTATGTTGAATTGTTTATGTATTTTTTAATGTATTTGTTTTTTATTTTGCATTTCAATTTTTTGTGTTTCAACATCAAAACATGCATGCAAAACATAATGAATTACATCAAGCTATTACTCATTCATTCTTTTATTAATGGGCAAAAATTATAATCTATCCACACAATACAAAGAAAGTTATAACAATTTTAAAATGGTAGGTGTTCATGTTTTGGCACCCTCAAAAAAAATAAAAATGCAGCGGCAGGGGAAACAATTTTAGAAAGAAATTAGCGTGGTAAAGGTTAAAATGACTAAGGGAATTAATCATTCATAAATTTGCTAACATGATTTAGCTCCCTTCCCACTACAGATGGGACAGGAAATATATAAATAAATACACATAGATAACTATTATATGGCTTGATTCTAACTTCATGTGTTTGTAACATTTGATCAAGAACACTTTAATAAAAGGCAATAAGATGAAGAAAACACACATTCCACACTACTCCAAAGAAAAAGTTAGGAAGGAAACCCCTATCAATACTGGAAAGAGTGATAGGAGCTACTGGACTTGAGAAAACTATTTTCCTGAAAAATTGTTTTAATAGATTTTATAAATATCACCTGAAGGTAGCACTGGCAGTTCAATGAATGAATGTCAGGCATTTCCTTATAAAGATATGGCTAATATTGTTATTACCATTAGAGATGAGAACTGATACTACACTTTGATTCCAATGGCCAAGGAGTAAAAAAAAGCAGAAAAGCATAACTCTTGTAGCGCTGTGTACTTGGTCTATGGATATAATGTTTCCTTATAAGAAAATGGATAATATTACTATTAGTGATGAGAACAGATACTACACTTTGATCCCAGTCCGAGAGCTGAAGAGTGAAGAAAAGTCTAACTTGTGTAGCACTGTCTTCCTGGTCAATGAATGTCATATTACTCTTTATAAGGAAACTGCTAATATTCACATTAGCATTTCCTCTTCATACCTGCTTAGAACATCTCAAGTGAAGGCATAAGTAAATAAAATTTATATATATAAACAGAAATGATTAGGATAAGACAATCAAGTTATCAGAAAAGAAAAAAAATGAAACAATTCTTATGACCAGGATGTAAGGTTTGGTGATGTATGGGCAAGGGGAAAGAAACCCCCACCCCAGTCAAATTTTAAAAAGTGTCAGGTTGGAAGGCAAAAATCAAACTGAAAGAATTTTAACTTTCATTTGAATCTCCACTGCCTGATTTGGAGTTTGCTTTTTTATTTATTTTTTTTTTAATTAAAAATATTTTAGTACAAAACTTTCATTTTTTTCTTTTTTATTCTTTAAATTTGTTAAAAAATTATTTTCCGTCTGTTCCCTGCTGAAAACAACTTCAACAAGTGAATTTAAATCCAATTACTCTCTCTCTCACAAACTGCACGTCTCTAATTGACATCCTTTCAGATGATGTTTTGCAGGTAGGTGGATAGGTGAAACCTTTCCATGCAGATTACAAGTTTGTTGACTTCTGTTTTTTCTCTCATTCTCAGGTCATGTCAACATTGGCGTCACTCTTCAGCCACAAACCTTTCCAGTCTTCGTCTTAAGAACCCCCCCCGCACCACCACTTACTCTAAATCAAACCCTTGGCTCTAATGTTTGCCCTCTCTCTTTGGCTTTGACTCTCCTTACATCTCACTTCACCATTTACTCTCCTCTCTCACTATCCTTACTCTCCTCATCTCTGTCTTCTCCACTCTTGCTCACTTCCCTCCACCACCTTTCTCACTATCTCTGCCTTCTCCTCACTCTCTCTCACTTCCCTCCACCACCTTTCTCACTATCTCTGCCTTCTCCTCACTCTCTCTCACTTCCCTCCACCACCTTTCTCACTATCTCTGCCTTCTCCTCACTCTCTCTCACTTCCCTCCACCACCTTTCTCACTATCTCTGCCTTCTCCTCACTCTCTCTCACTTCCCTCCACCACCTTTCTCACTATCTCTGCCTTCTCCTCACTCTCTCTTTTAGAAAAATGTTTTTTTCTCCCCTTTTTCCTTTCCCTACTTAGTCCTTCCCTCCCATTTTTTTAATATATCTTTGTTTGTTTCAAGGTGACTGCTTGATGTGTACTGAGCAAACATGAGACTAGTTGTAGCCATGGGGGGTTAAGTTCACACAGAACCCCCGACTCCTTACACTCCCACTCAGCCAATGATTGAAGGAAAGCGAATCAGTGAGTAAGTGCCCCAAATCATCCATGTCATCAGGTGGTGCCCAATTGTAATTAAGGACAACAAACACTGCATCACCAGGGATGGGGCTAATCTTGGGGGGAAACAGGGTTGGTTTGAGATGAACTTGCAATCCAATTCTGGACGACCGACCCGACAGTAATGCAATTTGGTCCCAAATCAGATTTCCTTAAATAGTTTGGGAAATATTAATTGGCTGGCATCTAAACAGAGTGAAAAGGGGGTGTTTTTATGCTAGGATGAGCGGCTCAGGTGGACATGAGGCTTTCAAATCAGATTCTGAAGGAAGAGGGAATTCATTTGGTAAGAAGGAAGGAAGTTGATTGGTTGCTTTTACAAACGGAGGGAGAAGAAAAGAGGGTGGGGAAAGAAAAGTTATGCTGAAGAGGTTACAAGAAGGAGGTGGGGAAATAAAATGGAAGAGAAGGGGGAAAGAATCTGAAGACTAATGTCTTTAAATAAACCTTTCAGCTCCAAAGAGAAGTTTTATATGTTTGTTCATGTGTAAAAGAGGGCCTTCATTAAAACAGTGCTTTGAACTTTATTAGGTGCTCCTTTATTGTGACCTTGTACCAGTTTGACTTGTGTTTAGCAAATACATAGACACACAACAAAGTGCTGAAAAGTTTTTGGCCTAACCAAGAATGAATTCTGAAAATAAGAAAAATCTGATGTTTGGTCATTCTGTCAGATTTGGGAAAGTCAACTTAGCTTATAACTGAAAACACCCTCTTGTGTATTTATTTTCTTTTAATCATTCAACCCCAAGCAAGGCAATAATGCCACTATGATGCAGAGGGTTAAAAGGAGTGAAAAAAGAAAAATGAGAAGACTTTAGTGAGTAGGAAAAAGACTGGATTTAGGAAAAAAGAAGACTGAATGGTGTTGCATTTAAATTTTTAAAGATTGTAGTTGGCAAAGAAGCGGGTTCAACAGGCCAAAAGTGCAAGAAAAGAAACTATTAAATATGTACTGCCATTAAATTGGTATACGTAAGGTTTAAAATGAAAAAGCTTTCTTGAAAGCTAAAGGATTTCAAATTTTTGAGACATTTGTAAACAAAAGTTAATTCTCAGTTTTAAAAATCTTACAAAAATAAAATAAACATTTTTTAAACATTATTTGAGGAAAATTAGCAAATTTAAAGTTAAATTTATCTGATTTGAAACTAATATTATTTGTAGCATAAAATGTTGTATATAAACATTTCTTAACTACAGGGACTTGTTTTTCTGACGTGTTAATCGATCTATTGACAGTGGATTGACAACTGAACATGTTCATAGTTAAGTATGGTGGAGCAGACAATTTATAAGGGGGACGACCCTTAAAGCATGTGACTTTTAAATTAATGATAGATTTATCGGTTTGTACATCCATACTTCACAAATTCTGCACGTAATCACACATACAAAATCAAATCGAAATTCTTTTAAAAATATTCAGTGTCATCAGATTGTAATAAGCTTTACAATATATTATTAATAAATAGAGTTTTACTTAATAACAATATTTCCTAAGAATTATCACACTGAAAATGAATTTCAAAAGATTTAAAAACTTTATAAATTATTCAATTTAAAATCATAAAAAAAATGAAAACAAATCTTGTAAAAACCATTTTTTGTCAAAAAAATTTTCTTCAGACTAATATATATCATACTTATAAAACCCAGGTTGTGTGCGTGTGTGTGTACATTTATATATTGGATCGGATTTCCTACATTTTTCAACCGATTTCAACAAAACTTCACAGGACTATGTAAAATTACCTTGCGGTGGTTCTGACAGTGCCAAAAAATTGGAAAAACAATTTTTTTGCACGAAATCAATTTGAAAACATGATTAAGAGTGATCGCTGTTGCGAGAATGAAAAACAATGGGGACAACTCATATCGAGTTATACTTATTATAAAACCCAGGTTGTTTGTGTGTGTGTCTATGTTTGTTTATATATTGGATCGGATTTCCTACATTTTTCAACTGATTTCAACAAAACTTCACTTTTTTTTTTTGGCAGGTAGTGTTTCTTATTGTCTTGCACACTTTTTTCTTTATTTTTACATTCAGAATGCTTTAAAAATTACATTTACAAGACAATTTTTTATAATAAAATTCTATTCAATCGATAGACTCATAACGATTGAAAACAATGTTTTTGTTTGAGTTTGGGTTTGACCAATTCGTAAAAAAAAAAAAAAAAAACTAATTAAGACATGTGTGTCCATCAACCTTAAACAATAATCTTTGTCAATTTTATTTTTCAGTCTTTATGATGGTCGATACTTGATCTATCTCTTACTGTTACATCCCCGGGCAACACCGGGCTCTACTGCTAATTATTCATAAAAACAAAAGTGTTGCTAATTAAATTATGTCTCAAAAAAGAAAAATATTTTTATCAAGATTTTCTAAAAAAAATTTCAAAAATAATTTCATTCATTTGTGAATAAGTTTTAAAAATTTCATTAAAAGCTGATAATTATTTGATTTTTACAAGAATTTCCAAATTAATGTGTCTGTCACCAAAAGAAGAGGCAAACATTTGCTATACTAAAAGTTAGTACAACTGCTGACACAAGAAAAACAAGTTTTTTAATCAAAATTTTAAATGTTCTAAAAATGAGTAAAAATTTAATTAAACATTCAAAATATACTTTGATCCTTCCTCTTAATAATAACAAAGATTTTGACAATAAAATTATATTTTTATTACATTTGGAGCATGTTTTCATCCCGGTATGCTGATTTTTTGTGGAGGTACCTACTGTTGGACTAGAACATACAGTTACATCTAACTAGTTGAACAATGAGACCGAGCTGCCAATCTAGTAGCATGCTTAAATTCATGTGAACAAAGAAATCAAAACTGCATGGTGTCTGTCATTTGATGATCACTTAAAGAATGAAAGTGCCAATCACCATACACTGCTGATTCCTATGTCCTCACTGTTTAAATCTACAAGCACTATCTGCAATATTGAGCACTCTTCATTTGTAAATATAACAATGGTTAAACAATATTTATAGAATTAAAACAAAAAAAAATTGTCACCAGAGAAAAAAGACAAATATATAAACCAATCTCAACAAGTTCTCAAAAACATCGGAACATTATGTATTAAAAGAAAAAACTCACTAAGAATAAAGTTGGAATTGAACTCCAAAAGTGCCAAACACAAACCTTCACCGCTGATTTTTTTGTGTCTACAATGTTGAAAGATTATCAAACTAATTCCTTTTTTCAGAATCTGACCAAACATTAGAATTGATTTTTGAATCCCTTCTTGAATGAACTGATGACTTTTCAGCACACACACAAAAGCTGTTGGTTTTGGTTTGGTTTGGTTTGGGGAATATCAACTTCAATGGGTTATTTAAGGCTGACAAGATTTTTACTGCTGGTAATATTTTTTTTTAGAAAATGTATTGCTTTATTTACATTATTCGGACTATTGTCCTCATCTTTGTTGCCATATTTATTACAACATTTCGGCTGTTGTACGCTCCAGGCTTCTTCAGTGGTTGGAATGTCAAACTGAACCCTTTATTTCGCTGACTGGAGTAAACTGTTCTAGTTCCACATGCCATGTCTAATGGATGTCAGTTATAAGTTATCTCCTGTTAATTCCCCTCTCCAAGTTCTCCACTGCCTTAACTGGGTATTGAACTTACACTCTTTGGGTCCTGTCACTGGATCTAACACCTTTATCAACTGTGCCATGTGTCCTTGAGGAATAATGTAAATAATGTACATAATACCTCATCTCAGAAATATAGACACATACAAAATGTATTGCTGTTAATAATTTTTCCTTCAAAAATATATTGCTGATTTTTTTTTTTCCAAAAAACGTACTGCTGGTATTAAAATCTATCTTTACACTTTCATATTGGAGGTTAACTATTTGCCCATAGCTGGGACCCTAACAGGTGTTACCACCCCGGGTCAGGGTGGAGCTAGGAACACTAGCAATTAAGTGGCAGCTCCACATCCCTCAAAACCTCCTGATCAGAGGCCTTGCTGTTGGATGTAGCTTATCGTCTTACCCAGGACACCAAGTTGTTGACGATAATAACATGGAAAATAAGACAGCACCAGCCTATAGCCCCCCCCCCAAAAAAAAACCTGCAAAATTTGCTTAGAGGAGAAAATAGCTTTAATTAGTTCCCTTTACCAATACAAATTACTAAACAAAAGATCAGAACTCCTCTCAAAATGCAGACATAAAAACAAATTCTTACTATATCACTTAAAACTTGAAAACTAAAAAGCTATCTTATAAAACATTATTTAAAAATATAAAATAAATATAACTCAAATAACAATAGTTCATACAATATACTTTAGACAAAACAAATAAGCTAATCTCTATGGAAAATTCTGTGACTTCTGCTAGTCCAACCATCACACCCCCTAAAATAGCCATACCTGACCAATTGAAACCAAATTTTGATGAGATGTGCAAACAGGTAAGGGGGCTACAAAGTACAGTTGGTTTTACTAGGTTGTGTAACTTAGTACAATAAATTTTCATTCATTTTGGGGGAAAAATTAAGTTTTATTATTTAACATACAAAATACTCCCACTATTTTAAAAAGAATTTAATGATTAAAATAAAAAATACTTATTTAATAAAAATACAATATTGTTGTTTTTTGGTTTTTTTTTTTGCATGGCTTTTCTTTAAGTTTTTACATTTCATCAATTGGTTTGCAAAAGTTGGACGAAATGTAGAGTTCGTAAATCTTGACAAAAAATTGTCAGTGAGAATTTCAACAATACTAAATACTATGAGAATTTCAACATGCATCAGTGTGTTGGAAAAAAAAATTCTAGTAAATAATAAAAGGCAAATAATAAATGAAAACATCCATAACAAATTGATAATTGAATAAATTTATTATTAATAATAATAATAATAAACCATAGTAATACATGAATAAATATACCAGCCTTCCCATATATATATATATATATATATAAATGCCCATTAAGGAATTGTATTCCTGACCAATCAAAATTTGTAAATAATTATATAGGCCACACTACAACATGTTTGACACGCAGACTCACTCTACACCTTTCTGACCATAGCTCAGTTAGATCTCATTTAAATATTCATGGAGACCTACCGGACACTATTCGTAACATACTTGTTGACAACACTAATATAATAGCATCATCTACATGCAAAAAAAAGGCTAATTAATAAAAACAAAAAAAAACAACTCTTAATAATATTAACTTTGAACATGGACACAATATCTTGACGGTGCTTTGAAAAAAGGCATTATATAAATACATACATGCAACAAACTATTTCTTATTTAACAGTTAAAATATTTAATTCTTGAAAATAGCTAAATGTATAGCCG